CTGTTGAAACTGATCAGAGGCTGATTCCAGGAAGCCCGGGGCAGAGCAACTCTGCCTCGGGCTTCCTGTAGTCAGCCGCTGGTCAGTTTCAGCAGCGGCTGAATGTGGACGCCAGTTCCGACTTACATACAGATTCAACTTAAGAACAAACCTACAGACCCTATCTTGTACGTAACCCGGGGACTGCCTGTATACACACACACACACACACACACACACATTTGTGCGTACATTTTAAACACATCTGTGCACTCATAAGAAATATACACACCTAAATTAATACACCGAAATGATGTATTAACATGAGCGTCTCAGATACGCACATCCTACACACAACCTGTATGGATGAACAGAAGAGAGCATTTCTGTGCGTGCAAGTTTGCCATAACCTTCATGACATCAATAAAACTAGTCACAAGTGATGTCACAAAGGCCATGATAGAATAAAAGTGCTATTTTAAGGCAAATTGATCATAGTTATAGATAGGTCAGAAAGAGGAGGGTGTATGTACAAAGAAAGAAATGCACCTCATCAAAAGCTCGTAAAAATCCATTGTTTAGAAATATTATATGCTATTTATAAAACAGATAAAAACAGGTATGAAATACAGCTTTCAGGAAGAGAAATTGAGCATTAGACATTTTACTGTGAATGGACTTACAATATATAAAATGTCTTATCTGTAATTTTTAGACATTAAAGATTCCCTGACAACAAAAAGGAGGCAATTTCCCTAACCATGGAATTATAGTACTAACTGAAGAATGGAATAGCTTAAACACTTCTACAGCTTCCATGATTCAGATACTTTGCAATCCACTAAATCAAGTGGATGTTAGGATGCACTACTTCAGTACTTCTAGACTCCAGAACTTTGGGGATCTCTTTTTGCCCAGGAACAGAAAAGGAAACATCTTTTCTCCAATAAAATAAAAAGGCAAACAGGAATTTTTAGCTGCAAACTGCTTACCACCATAAGGGAAAAGTGCATTACTACTCAGCTAGTGCTCAGGACAAGAATCTCCAGAAAACTGTAAACTCCAACCCAAATCCTAGGAAAATCAAATTTCTCTTGCTATAAGATATAACTTTTTCAAACAGGGGAAGGTTTCACATTCCATAGAGAATCATAGATGTTCTTATTTTGGACATCTTTTCAAGGTGGTGATGGAGATTAATCTCATTCAGGACAATGTTACCAACTTTTTTTCCTCGTGTCTTCACTTACTTGGTGACTTTGGGGGTTTATGAGTTTTCTTTTTCAGTTTCTAGAAGAAAAATAAAAAAAGCTTTCTGCAGTCAAACTCTCCTATTACTAAAACATCTCAGCAAGTTATCTGAAAAACAGAAGCTAAAGCCAGTTCTAATGAGGAATCAGATGAGGTCTAACAAAACAATATGAACTCTCCTAAATACAGGATTGTAATGCATGACTACATATAGAAGAAAAGGGATTCAACAGTTATTCCAACTGGTCTAGTTTTACCAAAGTTCAAATGTCACTGTAGCAGATTATAGCAAATGAAATAAGTATGTGCCAAAACAAAACAATAAACTACAATTAAGGTGTTGCCCCACAATGGTGTACACTAATAGCCAAAGCTACCTATTTTTGCTCATTTATTGAACAATTATGTGAGTTTTACTTGTACATCTTAAATGTGGGAATCAGCAAGTCCTTAGAAGTGCAGGACTATTACCAGGTGGAGAATGGGAGTTAATATTCTCTAAAAATGTGGTTCTCAACTGGTGGTCCATGGTGACTTTTTCGGTGGTCCACAGGAACACTGTCCAAAGTCACACAGCATAAGCAGGCGCTGCCGTTAGGCTGGTTTATGCCATGTTCACAAAAACGCGGCATGTCATCCATAGTGTCACCGAGGAAGCAACTAGGTTGTGTTTCCAGTAACTTCCGTCTGAGGCTCTGAATGTCAGTGTAGCTGCCACCATCGTGCTGAGCGATTGCTGTGTCATTCATCCTGTGCTACATGTGCTGGAGGTGGTCCACGAAAATTTTTTGATTGGCCTGGTAGTCCGTGGACTGAAACGAGTTGAGAACCTCTGCTCTAAAAGATGGAAGAACCCTTTCTTGTTCAATTCAACTAAAGCGTACTACACAGATAACTTAGGGTCTCTTAACTTGATGGCATAGCGAAATTCACTGAATGTAATTTGCAAAATAAGCATCAGAATTTTGAAATCCCAGTAATGTTTAGAATTACTGGAGCCTCCATATGTCAAATTCTTTGTTGGTACAATACGGTTCTACTTTTTAAAGTATCTATCAGTAATCAGTAGATATGACTGGGATATGCTGTGTGGAAGTAGATTCTGAGAAGTTTTTTCAAGTGTTTACAAAAAGCACATTGCTGATAAAACTCACCATCTCTGTGTCAGATTCATAGGTTACAGCAGACAGTTGGTCTTCTCCCTAGAAAGTAGATATGTACAATTTAATTTTTGCTGCTGTATAGATAGTTGGTTAATATATAGATCACCAGAATGTCAATAACAGCCCCCCAGTAATTTTTTATAATGATCACTACAGTACATTCAACTACGTACTCTGTCACTGTGTTTACAAAGGGACAATATACCTGAGAAAAAAATCCCCTAAAGAGGAAGTCACTGCAAAATCTGACCCTAAAGTGTTGAACCTGAACTATCGCAAAGCTGCTTATTCATAATCTCAGAAACTATCAGCAGGTACAGAATGCCTATCTGAACTAATTCTGAAAAAAAAAAATCACTGCATAGTGTTAGATTAATTTCAGAAAAGGTAGTAAAGCAAATTTCAAATGTCAACAGAAACCCTAATATTATCCTAAGTTTGTAATAAAATTCTCACTTTTCATTAAATAACACTTCCATTATTATTTTAAATCATCACTAGCTTTTCTTTGAAAGCTAGTGACAAGACTGGGTCTGATGGACAGGAGAGCTTGCAGGAAGTCCAACTTCATATCCCCATTTCAGTGCCTTTAGTGTCTAATAAAAGAGTAGGATGTACTTGTAAACCTCTCTCTCAAATAACTTTATATTTAATAACTATTTTTAGTGTTCATTAATATTCTAGATGCAATATGACCAGAGATGCTTATATTAACCGTCAGAGGGGTAGCCGTGTTAGTCTGAATCTGCAAAAGCGACGAGGAGTCCTGTGGCACCTTATAGACTAACTGAAGTGTAGGAGCATAAGCTTTCGTGGGCAAAGACCCACTTCTCTTTGCCCACGAAAGCTTATGCTCCTACACTTCAGTTAGTCTATAAGGTGCCACAGGACTCCTCGTCGCTTTTGCAGATTCAGACTAACACGGCCATAACACTCTCACACTTACACTTACTTCAAGAGTAATAGCTAGCTAATTAGTTCAGTATTAATACCTTAAAACTTATATAATGCTTCACATTTTCAATTGCAACATTAAAGAGCCATCACAACAGCCCAAAGATACAAGTATAAACACCCTCATTTTAAAGACAAGGAACCAAGAGCATAGGAAAGGTTCCAAGGTTAGTCAGTCAGTGAAAAAGTCAGCATTGGAACTTAGAGAGGAAGGATAGTCCAATCATTAGGGCACTTATGAGATTTATATTCAATTCCCTGCTCTGCCACAGACTTCTCCGTTGACCTTACGCAAGTCACTTAGCCTATGTGTCATCTAAAAAATGAGGATAACAGCACTTCTTTACATTTTGGGGTGTTGTAATGATAAACACATTAAAGACTGTGAGACACGCATGTGATGTAGCCATAAAAGTATCTAAAACAGGTAGATGGATATTTTCCCAAATGTATCCCTTCAGATTACAGTGCCCGAAAATAGCTATTGGTTTAACATTGCATCAATAGAGAAGAGTACCAAGCCAACAGATGATCTTTACCTAAGCATATACAGGACAGAAAGAAAGGTTGGAACATTTCCATTTCATATGTTTTTCATGTTATGTTGCCCTTGCGGAAAAGCTCATACAATTAATTTCCGCCTACTGCTGGCTTTGCTAGCGCTTACAGATGCAGCTCTGTTCCTAGGCAAGATCCAGATCTAGCTCATTGTGAGAAGCGGGAGAAAAGGTAAAGCAGATTTTAAAGCACTGGTTGACAGGAAAGAAGGCAGCATTGAAAATATTAAGAACAGATAAAGCAGCTTTTCAGCTTGGTTGAGAACAAATAGGCATACGTTTCACACAGTACACTATACCATAGTTTTTAATTTCCTGGGTCAGTGTTTCTTGCAACATACGGACAGGTTATTTTTGTTATTTTGTTATTTATCACACTACTGGAGGTATCCCGAAATAGCTACCCTGCATCTTTTAAACGTGCTCGTTATTTCAAAATATTTTTCAAAATAACAGGCACAGCTATGTTACCGGGCCCTGCCTCTGGTGCGAGACACGGACCTGCCGCGCTATTCTGGTATCCCTGTAATCCTCATTTCACAAGGGTTAAAGTATGTCTCGAAATAGCGCATTATTTCAAAATTTGGTGCTGTGTAGACACGCCAAATTTCAAAATAAGCTATTTTGAAATATAATCAAAATAAAATACTCAATTTGCGTAGCACAAAGTGCAAATCTTATTTTGAGTTTAGGATGCTGTGTAGATGCATCCTAACAGAACAAGAATGGCTTTCAACAGAGAACTCAAAAAGTATAGTGCAATGGAGGTGACAAGAAAGTAATTTTACAGGAGAATACTAAAGTGTAGGACTGGGTGTAAGGACTCCTACGTGCTAATGCTCTCGTTGCCATGAGCTCTCTTTTAGACCTTGGCAACGTGAGCATTAGCACATCGGAGTCCTTACACCCAGTGCTAGAAAGATTTTTACCACACAGTTGTGCATCCAACATTTCTTACACATATTTTGACAGAGCTGCCACATTTTGAAACTCGTAAGATGGCACTTCACAAAATGAGCAAACCTTGCTACCGCACGAAGAGGCATTGACACTTGGCTGCCCAGAGAAGTCAAACTACATCAGTAACTTAGTGCATGCCATTGTTACAACATCCATTTAGGGAAAAAAATCTAATGCTGTCTCCTGCCAACAGGGAAGGAAGAGAGCAGTATCACTGGAGTATTCTCAGGAGTGGTCAGAAATATATAGTGGTGATGAATTGCCAATATAGGAACTGAGCTAAAAAGTTCCTCATCACACTCTATAATGTCAAAGCCCCTAAGTGTCAACACAGTATGCACAATCCTAACACATCATATAACAAATGCATAGTGAGCTGTCCTGACTATAACATCCTCATTGTTGTGTGAGTCAATGATACTCCACCTTATGTGTTAGTAGAGACAAGCTTGTACTTGTGCCATGAACCTGAGGCTACATCTAGACTGCAAGCCTCTTTTGAAAAAGAGCGTCTAGACTACAACCAGTACTTTCTAAAAAGCAAGCCGCTTTTTCGAAAGACAGCACCCTGGCAGTCTGGATGCTCTCTTTCGAAAAAGCATAATTTGCATTACATAGCGCATTTTTTCAAAAGAGCACTTTCGAAAAAAGGCATTATTCCTCGTAAAACAAAGTTTTCCACAGTCAAAAAAAAATTGCCACGTTCTTTCAATTTACTTTAGAAAGAACACGGCAGCAGTCTAGATGCAGGGGAAGTTTTTTTCTAAAAAAGGCTACTTTTTTTCGAAAAAACCCTGTAGTCTAGACACACTGTGAGGGAGGTGGGCTGTTTGACTCCCACAGTCCCACCACATCTGCCCCGGTTCCATTGCACCCATTCCTATCTGTCCCAGTCCCACTGTCTCCTGTCCCCATTGGTTCCAGCCTCCCCACCTACCCCTGGTTCCACTGTGCCCCCTCCCCATCAGTCCCAGCCCTGGTCCCATTGTTCCCAATCCCCAGTCCTGTTATCCCCTATCCCCATCAGTCCCAGCCCTGCACCCACTGTTCCCAATACCAGTGTCCTCCATCCCCATCACTCTTGGTCCTGGCCTCAGTTCCAATGCCCACACCCCATCTACTGTGCTCCCAGTCCCCATATCCTTTGCCTGGCTGATCTGGTCCCTCTACCCCCTTCCCCATGTCCCCATCTCAGACCCACTGTCCCCCACCCCCATCTGGCCTGACCCCTCTGTCCCGTCTCGGTCCCACTGCTCCCTCCCCAGTCCCAAACCCAATGTCGCTCTCTCCCAGTGCCCTCCTCCCCGGGTCCCAATCCCGGCCTCACTGCCTGTCTCCCTCCCATCTCCCCGGTCCCGCTTCCCGCCGCTCCCATTCAATCCCCTCGGCTCTGTCCCGAGCTCACCAGCTCCCGCTCCGTGGCCGCCTCGCTAGTCGCTAGGGACATGGCGCGAGCGCAGCTCCAGTGGCTTTCGGGGCGGGAGAAGAGTTCAGCATCTCAGCCTGGATCGAGCCCCTTCCCCTTAGTACTTCCGGGTATCCGAGACCATGGCAACCAGCCGCGGCAGCAGCCCCAGGACCCGGATGAATAGGGAACGGAACACCCTGGCCAAGCGACTCTTTGCCCGGAGTTTGGGGAAGCGGCTTCGTCACAGGGCTGGGACAACCAAGTGTTTGCTCGGAGTTTTGGGAGATCACAGCAGGCGAGCGAAGCGCTGAACTAGCGAGCCAGCGAGGAGGGGCTGGGGAAGCCCTCCTGATGGGGTTACCCAGGAGAGGCCAGGGTGGCCTGGAGTCTCCAGCAATTAAAGATTAATCTTTACTTAAAGAGTGTGTGGTGTGCTGAAATCTCTAGAAATATGGCCAATCAAAATTGGCAACCCTGGCGCCCACAGAAAGGTCCCATGTAGAGTCTGGCTTGTCACCTAACATAGGGACCTTCCTTTGGGCCCTTCCCAATAGGGCCATAGGCAGATCCTGATTCCTACCGCAAACTGGTTCTTAAGCCTCTTCCCCTCCCTTCCCACCCGCACAACCGCACCAAACAGTGGTACTCTGGCCTATGTAAAGATGGTACCTTCAGGTTTTCATGCAATCTGTCCAATGGCACAAAGTCTGGTCTTTTTCCTAAAGCCCTACATCCAGGCTATGTCTACACTGGAAGTTTTTGCACAAAAATGGCCATTTTTGCCTCAAATGCACTTTTGCACAAGTAAATCAGCAGTAAAATGGCAAAACAGAGGGCTTTTGCTGGCGTAGGTAAACCTCCTTCTGTGAGGCATAACTCCCTTTTGTGCTACAGCTATGGCACAAAAAGGCAAGTGTGGATGCTCCAGAGGAAAAAGCACAGGTGCTCTGACGGCCTTTCTGTGAATGGCCATCAGAGCTTTCTTGCACAAGAGTGTCCATGCAGTGTGGACGCTCTCTTGCGCACTTTTGCGATGCGCTTTGAGGTGTGGACATGCTCTTGTGCAAGAAGTTTTTGTGCAAAAACTCTTGCGCAAAAGGCTTCTTGTGCAAGAAACCTGCAGTGTAGACATCAAAGGATTAAATAAGAATCTTAGCTTCCCACCCCCAACCCTTTGTGTGGCCTTGGACAAATAAGTCAGTTGTTCTAGGCTTCATTTTTCTATCTGTAAAAGAGAGTAAATACCTCACTCTTGTGTGCGTGAAACATAATTCAGTAATGTTTGTAAGGTGCTTTCTGTTCAGATCCTCTGAAGGAAGGCACCAAAGAAATGAAAAGTATTACCTATCCTGGTTTCTATTATTCACCATTATATATATTTTTTTTCTTTCTTTCAAGGATTACATCTTGCTGCAATTGACACACAGTCTGTGTCTACACTCCAAAAGTTCCCAGTTACTACCTAACATGAGTAAAGATGTTAAAATGCAATTATCTGGCTAATCGTATAGTTGATACAATTGTATTGACTACACAATTAGTCGATAAGTGCCTCTGCAGAACCGCAGTGGGGGTAGCTCCAGAGGAGACAACTCAAGCTGGGACTGAGAAGTCCAGGCTCATATTGGCTCCAGAGCCACCCAAAGAAATTCCAAATGACCTGTGGTAAAAAAGCCAGCACTGTTACCCATTTATGCCAGTTCTCTTGCAGTTGATACCAATGATAGAACTGAACTATTAGTGGCAACAGTGGGCCTTTAATTTGCAAAACCCAAGCATAGGACCCATTGTCAGACAATCACAATGATAAGGGGCACAGGAAAGCTATTTACAACATTTAAACTGCACTTCTATAACTGGTTTCCAGATTCCACATTTCTGGTGTTGATAATTTACACCTTAAGCTTTTGTGAGGATAGTGCTCTCTCTCATCTCATGAGGGAAAGCTGAAAAGCGTGATCCCATGCAATGCACTCAAGATGGGGACTCTATCTCATTTATTAATGTAAGAATAATAAAATAAAACTCAGCAAAGCCTAAACTCAATAAAAAGAGCATTAACACTCATCTGAGAACATTAAAACAGTATTGGAATTATGGGTGTAAAATCCCATTTAATTGGTTAACCAGTTAACAGCATCTGGCCTATCACCTAAGATGAAGGACCTTCTTTTGGGCTCTCCCCAACAGGGCCATAGTCAGATGCTGATCCCCATGGTGAGCTGGTTGGGGGGAGCCCTTCAGCTCCAGTAGATTGGAGTGGCTCCCCTGCTCACTGCAGACGGGGAGGGGGGGCTGCTCCAGGCTCTACAGGTTAACCAGAACCGGTAGGATTCACTTATTAAGGTTGAAGTTTACCTGTAACTGGTTAACCATTATTATCCCAGTTTGGGATGACAGACTCCAAAGGGGCTTTTTATGTATTTATGTGGTGCAATAGTGCCATCAAGTGGTCCTTCAGCAAGCAAAAATCCCCAGAGATGCTCAGAATCTTGCTGTCAAAAAAAGAGATTTCTGAATTCAGATCATGTGGAAATTGTCCTTCTGGGTCACCTCTGACAGAGTCAAATAAAGCATTTTTGGGCAGGCATATAGTTTTCCATTCTCCAAATATAACTGTCTCCTGTCCACCAGCGTCAGTCTAATGGGATTAAAAAGATGATTCTTTGAAATAGATCCCAAATGTAACTGATTTCTCTTCTATAAAGAATTGTGTATGATCTTTATATCAGGTCTATCTCTCGAGCCTACTGCTGCATAAGTGGAGCTTAACTCTGAAGATTGCTATGAATAGCTGCCAACAGGTAGGCGTGGGCTACACACAGTTTTTATACAGATTTAACTATTTCAGACAGAAATGTGATAGTCTAACAATAGTTACATGGATACAATCCCTAGTGTGCAGACAGTTATATCAAGGTAAGTTGCCTCACACCAGAATAGTTTATACTCTTATGGGGTATTCCTAATGTCCCTTCAGGACTCATTTTGAATAGGACCATAAGGGTAAGAACTTCCTTCCTTGTTTCCTAAAGGATTTTACCATGGGATAGATAACTGGAGGTAGCTATTGTGATATAAAACCCCACCACCACCTTTTATGCAGTGAAGCCAGTAATAAAGTGGCAAGTGCAGACACTGATATTGATTTAAACCTTAGCTTGCAGCTACTGACACAAATTGCTACCATGAGTCTCAAATAGGGATGTAAGAGTTTAACTAGTTAACCGGTTAACCAACAAGCATCTGCATATCAGTTTCTGTTACGATTAAACTCTGCCCCTGAAGACGTGTGCTGCTGGTCCCGCTCCTGGGAAACTGGCTGCCGCCCTGCGCTGCACGCTCTGCAATATAAGGCTTATACTGTTCAGGAGACATTCAGAGGGTGATTAGCTGCCAGGGTTGGCAGTGTATGTTTCTACTGGTGGTGCATGTCTGCACATGCCCCGGTGCACAGAACCATATTTATTCCACACATGGGTGAAAAAAATTAGAGGGATTATTGGCCTGGAGTCTCCAGGAATAAAAACATTAATCTTCAATTAATGATCACATCATGTGATAAAATCTCTAGACATTCAGAGGGTGATTAGCTGCCAGGGTTGGCAGTGTATGTTTCTACTGGTGGTGCATGTCTGCACATGCCCCGGTGCACAGAACCATATTTATTCCACACATGGGTGAAAAAAATTAGAGGGATTATTGGCCTGGAGTCTCCAGGAATAAAAACATTAATCTTCAATTAATGATCACATCATGTGATAAAATCTCTAGGATTACACCCAGCCCACCACCCTGGCTAAAATTTTACCCCCAAGCCCCGCCCCTACCCCACAGCCCCGCCCCGACAGTCCCTTAGCCCCGCCCCTGCGCTGTTGTACGACAGTCGGTTGACGCGAAACCC